TCTTTCTTTCTTTCTTTCTTCCTTCCTTCCTTCCTTCCTTCCTTCCTTTCCTGTTACTTTCCTTCATTAATTTGTTGGCTTAGTAGGTGAGACCATGCACAATTCACCATGGTGGCACTGTAACATTTACTGAAACATGCATTCTACAAGCCTCTGCAAACCTGTATCCTAAGGAGAGCCCGCTGGGTGTTAAGACAGCAGGCAATACCTCTACTAGATTGCTTAAAGCAATACATTTTTTTTTTTTACTATAAATTCATTGTTAAGTGTATAAAAACACACAGATTCAATACCGTATTGGTAATACCTTGTGATTGTGAGTATGTTCACAAGAGGTTTCTGCCTTATCCAGAAAATCTTTTAATGAATTTGTTTTTTATCAATCACAATTGCATCTACTACCATTGGTTGGTGAATCATGTTTATTGAGCTCACAGACAATGCTGGCTAGCCTCATGGGTCCCCTTTCCTCTCCATCCAACCTCCCCTACTCACTTCACATTTTTCCTGCCTCAGTCCTGCTCTGTAGCACAGAGATGCACAGAACCTTCCCTCACTCCTAGCCTCCCAGGTCATCAGGATCCTGGTTAGTTGAGCACATGGAGGTAATTAAAGAGCAGAAGGCACGAGGGGAGCTGGGTTAGGGAATGAAGTGCTGGCTGTGCAAGTGTGGAGATGTGAAAAGAGCTGGATGCTGAGTGCACATCTAGAGTCCTAGCCCTTCTCAAGATGGGAGATGGAGACAGAACTCTCCAGAGATTATGGGTCAGGTATTCAGATGGATGCAGTTGTGAACAAGAGGCCCTGTCTAAAAAACAAAACAAAACCAAACAAAACCAAAGAGTGGAAAGGAAGGACCTACGCCTGAAGTTGTGCTCTGACCCCGGTATGTGTACAATGTCACACCTGCATTCACACACATGCATACATACATACATACTACTAAGCACACACAGCATAAATGCCCCTACACCCATACAGACCCTGCACACACAAGCATACATACCTCACACACCATACCTGTACTCATACACACTTACACATGCGAATGTGCATGCACAGATGTCATATACTCATGAACCTCAACACACACAGAAATAATTTTTAAAAGAAAACCACATGATTATAAGGCAAGAGGAAGGAAGAAGCCAAGGCTTGCTCCTCCCTCTCTCCGTGCTCTGGGAAGTAGTCTATGATCCTGGTTTCCACAGTATAGACCTACTATGATAGTTTCCTGTGGAAGGGCCTGTTTCTTGGGCCTAGGTCACACTGCCTCTTCCCCTGAGTTAAAGGCAACAATGAAATACTGTTCTTGCAATCCCAAGTTGGCCTAATTTTAAGTCTTCATCTCCAAAACTAATTATATAACCACTTCTTTGCATGGATTCCTTCTCTCCTACATCCTTCAACCGAATTTTGTTTTTTTTTTTTTGTTTTGTTTTGTTTTGTTTTGTGATCTTCTCAAAGCACATTTTAATTTGCTCTCCCATAAAAATAAATCTCCTTAGTGTGGCATTCAAGGCTCAATGCAATCTCTGCAGAAGCTCTGTCCTGATGCCCTCTTGATATTTTGATATATACCTGCTACTCTGTCATGCTGAATGGCCACCAAGTCAAGTCCACCTCAGGCTTCCCTGTGCCACTCTTCCCTCTCTGTGGTGAACTGAGGACTCTGTCATTGTCTTGGGCATCCAAAAGGCTCATGCTCCACTGCCCACAACTCAGGCCACACTGTGACTGTTCTAGTTGTCCAGCCTAGGACAGCAATCTTTTTGGAGACAAAAACTGGAACTTCTTGATTCATTGCTTAATCACTTAGTGTACCATCTAGTACGTTAAAGCCACTCAATAATTGGACAAAACCAATATAAAGCTAAACCAGAACACAATTTTACTAATGACTAGTACCATCTGTTTAATAGAAAGTCTAATTTCTATCCCGTTCTTTACTGAGCATAACAATACTCGGGCTTCCTTGCTGTGCCATAGCAGCCTCATGTCTGTTTCTGGTTCTTAATCAGGTACTTGCTTTTACAAAAGTCTGGCCTAAGACCCTCTTAATTCAGTTCTTGATTATAACCTTTTAAACTGCCTATCAGTATACGCCTCAAATAGACCCCCCCCCCACACACACACACATCATCTCCTAGCGGCCTGGGAGCTTCTTCGGTATTTTCTGTGTCTGCTTTACTGGATCATTCTACATAGGTCCCCATAGATTTCAAACAGAATGCTCCAGGGATTCCAGGCCCATCACCCTTATGGTACACATGACATTTGAACCATGGCCTGTTTGACATCCTGTCTCACTTCCCCCAGGCTAAGAGACTGATTTTGTAGAGCACAGTCACTCAGACCATACTTGTCAGCCAGAGTTGAGAAGACTCCAAAAGTTGGAGTTTGAAGGTTGCACAGATGGAACTGAGTGTCAGCACCAGCTTGAAAGGCACTAGGAAGAGGAGGGCATTTGATTTACAGACGCTCTCCTTCTTTCTTTCCAAACCTGTGTTCTCAGCTCTGAAGACCTTTTACTTACAGCTTCTCTGCAGGAATGGTTATTGATCTACAAGCTATTAGCATGTGGACACTACGAGCTGCATGTAGGCACAGTACTAGCCTTGGGCTAGGGCAAAGCAATACCCAGAACACAGAATCCATCATTCACAAAAGAGGCCCTGGGAAAATAGAAGAGAAAAAGGGGAAACACCTGTGACTCTCCAGAGGCCCCTAATCAAGCCAGAAGCTGGCAGGGGAGAGCTTTTCCTTGAAACAAGGCAAAATGAGACATTCAAGATATTCAAGAAATTTAAACATATGAATAGCACTGTTTCCTTGAACAGGTGCACCTTCAGTGAATTTGTTACAGAAGCATTTGGGTGTAGAAAAGGAAATGATTTTTTTTCTTCTGAGGCTGGAAGTGCTTCAATGGTGTTGAGGAACTCCTCGAGCTTTGACTGCTTGATGAAATCTGTGCAAACACAGATTTCTGAAACAGAATCACTCCAGGTGGGAAAAGCCAAAGATGTACACTGTCAAGTACATCTGCCAGCAATGCTTTCCCAGGGAAAACCCCCAGGCGCTAGGCTACAAACTACAACTACCTACACCTGTTGGTCCTTCTGTGAGGGGAGATGGGACTTTAACACTGCCACATATGATGGTTTGCCCAAGTAGAGCGATGGGTGGGTCATTAAAACGTCTGTGACTATTTCTCTTCCCTGCATCTGCTATTCCTGTCTCTGACACATAGTGTTGTCTCCTGCAGGCCACTGGAATTTTAATGACTGACCCCTACTAAGAAAGGCATTTAAATATTAGTATCATCTCCTGCATCGCAACCATAGATTTCTTCTAGCAGGTGATCCCATCCAGGGGAAATGAAACTCTAAATAAATGTCTACTTTTTAATAGCTTTGGAAAAGCCAACATGATCTTGTATCTAAGAAAGCGCTTGGTTTTTAAAAAGGCAACAGAATCATATCTTACTGTCTCAAACTGAGTGCTCTACCAAGGAATAGTCAATAATCTTCAGTAGAGAAAAAAAGTCTATCAAAAGAAGAACTAACCTGCCCATTTCCCGTGTTCCAGCTAAATGCGGGGAGGGAGGCTCCCCCTAGAAACACCTCCCCACCCCTGTTCCCTGGACAGGACCCCAGGGTTCTTTAGGGCTGTTCACCTCAGAAGGAAAGCTGGCGTTTGAACTTACTGCGTCGGCCCTCGCGTTTCTGTTCAGAAGAAGAAGCCGGGAATGTGCAGCCAACAGATCATCTAGACAGCCGTTCCGGGGTGGCCCTGGGAGGCTTCCAAAGCAGGTCGGATTCTGAGTGGGACAGCGTGAGCCTGCGAGCAGGAGAGTGAGAGCCACTGCGATGCTGTCACAGCCTGGCTTCTCCCTGGACCTCTAAAGGCGCTTGATCGGGACCCTGCACTGCATCGCGCAGAGCCCAGTGGGAGGGTGTGCGAAGAGGGAGGAGGGTCGGAGATGGAGGTGGAGGCGAACCCCGCCCTGGAAGGGAAGAACGTAGGTACCAGGGCAGCGGAGCTCAGGCCTCTCTGGGGACTGAGCCCTGTAAGTTCCCAGTGGTCAGGAACGCAAGGACACCGTCTGCCAACCTCGGTTGCCCGCGCGCAACTGCGCCCTGCGCCGCGCAGCGCCCCAGCCACCACTCCCAGCAGCTGCGACTCTGCCCTTCTGAGTTCATCGACTCTGCGGAGGAAAGCCAGGGTCGGGGGCGAGCCCCTGCTGCAGGGAGGAAGTCGGGGTCCGTCCCCAGCTACCCGAACGAGGTGCAGACGCCTCGGGCTTGCCGGAGTCCGCCTGGAAGGGGCTCTGCACCTCAACGCCCCGGGAATCCCACTCCGCTCTGCGAGTTTGCTGGTGTAGGAGCCAAGAGCGGCCCCTCGGAGCAGCTGGATCCCAAGGACAATCAGGCAGCACGCCGCGCCACAGCGAGGGCGCACAGCGGCGGTGCCCAAGTCCAGAGCCCGGTGGTCCAGCGGCAGCAATGCCCTTAACAGGTGTCCATGGAACCTTGCGCCTTCGGAGCACAAACCCGAGGTGTCCCGCGGTCGACTGGCCAAAGCTGTCACTCAGAAAGAATGACGAGTACAGCAGGAAGTCTTAAACCAGGCTTTCTTTGTCCAGTTACTTGACTTCAAAATTCTTCGCACTTGGATCTTAGAGCATCCGAGATTTCGGAGGAATCCGGAGAGCGCGCCTCAGGAAATGTTCTAGTTTGGAGCCTGCAGGCTGAATTCCCTTGTAGGAGTGAAACAGGACAGGCAGGACTTCCAGCCACCAGCGCTGGGAGGGCGAGAGGAGCTGCTTCAACTTTACTCCCCCAAACTCTTCATTCAAAGGCAGTCCTTCCGGAGGTGTGAGGCAGGTCGCTTTTCCCTCCTCAGTTTTAAAGGGGGCAGTAGAGCCTTATCCGGAGGAAGCATGCGACTGGACGCTTGGCTTCCCTTAAACACACCGTCACCTCACTGCGTTGATTTGTTGTTGCTTTGTTTTGTTTCGTTTTTAATTTCTGAAATGAGGATGGTCACACTGGTTCTCAGAATTTCTCTGAAACACGCAAAAAGAAGTCGGTTTAGATTAACCTTCTCTGCCAAAAAAAAAAAAAACAACAACAACAACAAAGTTGCACTTAGCTATTTTTAAAAGATAATAAATCCTCCCCCACATCATAGTATTAGTTACTCCCATTGTGAAATGGGTTTTCAGTCCCGTGACCCCAGAATGTCACATGCCCTACCTAATCTTATTTCACAGGGCATATGAAATTATGAAATCTGAAATCAATCTTCAGTTCATGTGATGTCATGCTAGAGAAGCTGCCTATAAAACAGAGTACCCGGAAGTAAACAGGCCTGCCAGTAGACCTGCTTAAAGCCCTTCTGTCTGTGTTTCTGCTTTCGGGAAAAGGCTCTTGCTCACACATGCGGTAGTTGAACAGATTCCATGTTTGCTTTTTTATTTTTATTTTTTAAGAGACACTGGGGAATGAGGGTGCCTAATGCATCATACATGCGGGAGTGGCTGCCTCTGAGCTGCAGCTTCACCCTGTTTTCCTGTTTCATTGTTTGTTTTGTTTGAGGACTGTGTCTTATTAAGTTTCCCAGGCTGTCCCAGTAGCCCAAGCAGGCCTTGAACCTGCTTGGCTTCCTAAGGAGTTGGCCTTGCAGTCTGTACCATCAAGTCCAGCTTTCCATGATTCTTAACGTTGGGAAGATGAAGATGAACTTCAGAAGCTTAGCACTAGTTCTCTTTGAAACACAGAAACAAATATTCCAGAAAGCTGATGAGCAGTGTTGCTGGAAGTAATTGTTTTGGAGGATTTTAACCCATTTCTCCAGCAGTGATTGCACTAAACACTCTCCTCTCATAACACTGGCTTTCAAAGGCTTCTAAGCAGCTGTATGTAAGCATTGAGCTTGCTCCCTTGGGCACACTCTGATCAACAACTCTAGTAATCACCAAGGGCTTCTCCGACTCCTGTCTTTCAATAAAGTGCAGAGTTGGACGAGAACCTGATCCACGAGGCGAAAGTCACTTCACAGTGTGACATATTATCACCGTGTTTTCGCCAGCTGGTGACACCGCACATTCGGGCCCTGAGTAAAGTCTGTTAAGGCATATGTGTGAGAAACCATAAGGAAAGTGAACCCTCCGAGGAAGGCCCATAAGCCTAGCAAGTGGCCAACTAGTGATTACTCCAAATGGAAACAGGACAGGCTCATCAAGCCTGATTTCTCTTTGTTGAGTACTTCGGTTCTTTGGGCCATTTCATACCTCTCCAGAAAAGGTGCTAATCACTCTTCAGATGGGGAGAAGGTAGAAGGCCCAAAATGCCTGCATAGCTAGGGCGAGCAGTATTTGCGTACTCACAGGATAGACAGTGGAGAAAGCGGAAAATGGTAAGAATGCACACAGCCCAAGGAATGCACAGCACACACAGGAGCTGAAAGCAGAGGCCTGTTCTCAGGTTCCAATAACTGCCCTGCAAAATCTCATTGTTTAAAAAAGATCTCTCTCTCTCTCTCTCTCTCTCTCTCTTTTTTACAAGAAGCAAAGTTCATATTCTTAAAAACTTCGACCAGTGAGATGGCTCCAGGGGCTGCAGCGTCACCAAGCCTGACAACCTGAGTGAGATCAGGGACCCCTCAGAGTTGAAAGAGAGAATCTGTTCCAGCACATTGTCACCTGAAGTACACACACTCACACACACACACATCCACACCCTTAAACACACACACACTTAAACACACATGCACACACATACCTGCATATGCCATAAGGCAGACACACACCTACACAACACACCCTACACACAAACACCTACACACACACATATACACACAAGCACACACATACCTGCATATACCACACAGGCAGACACACCTACACACACACACACACACACACACACACACACACATGTGTAAATGCAATGAAACATCTTTTGAAATAAAATGGTGCAAAGTGATTTCTTAAAAGTCAAGGCTCCAAGTGAGCCTATCAAAATAAATGCAAATAACAGAAAGGTAGAAGAAAGAAAAAAGGACAAGAAGGAGTGAGCAGTCCTCTGGACAATGGAGGATCTGCTCAGAGACCTCCAGGAGGCGTCTGAAACCATAACAAACGTGTCTGTAAAGTCTGACCCTGAAAGACTAACAGAAGCAAGCAGTAATGAAGTAGAACAATTATAGGAACCGAATGTAGTAAACTCTTTATAAGCATGTGTATTATGTGTATCATCCTGTAGGTAACTTTGTCCTCTCTTTGGCATATGTGAATCGCCGTGCTATCGTACTGTGCGGCCATTGCTGTAAAACAAGGATTGCTTATCCACGGACGGTCAACACTACCACAGTCTTTCTCAGAACCAGCGGAGGTGGCCACCAAGTGACACAGACACTGGTAGCATGTGTGTTATGGATACACTAGACATTAACATGACTCATACCCTGGGCAGGGCACATAGAATACGACAGCACAAAATTTCATCATCATATTGCTCAAACAGCGTGCAGTTTCAAATTATGAGCTGTTTATTGCTGGAATGTTCTATTTAGTGAGTAGAAAATGGAAATACTGGAAAGTAAATCCTTCAGTGAAGAGACTAAAGAGATATTTGCAGTCTAGACCTCTATGTTTCTCTACGTTATACCCTCTGGTGTTATTTGATATCTGATAATTCTCCTCAAATATGCTTTAAAAAATGGCTCCACCAATTTCCTCCACCCCACTGCCTATTCCTCAGTACATGCAAATCTAAAGGGCAGAGAGCCACAAACTGACTGCCAAATATGCTAGCTTTCCACTGCTACAGTATATTCAGGAGGAAACCAGCCGCAAAGTGGGTGGGTGTGTGGAGGCTCCCAGTTCTGCAATGTTGCCCTAGGGGCAGCAAGTCAGCAAGGAGGGTATAGAGATATCTGACCTCCTCACAGCAGGAGAGAGAGGGCAGAAGGGAGAGGGGATAGAGAGAGGCAGAGGGAGGGGGCAAAGAAGAAAAGAATGGACAGCAGCAGTAGCTGGGCCCTCATGGCCCCTTCAGAGGTATGGTCCTGTGAGGAGACCAGCAGACTTGCCTGGACTTCAGTTTCTTTCCCCTCCAAATAGTCGAAGCTACAGGTCATACCTTCAACACATGGTCCATGAAGCAGACATTATAGATTTCCAACCTAACACCAAATATGTCATTTTCTTCGTATTTCTGTTGAACTAGTGTTCACAGTCAAACTGCTAATGAAATAATTAGGGTGTTTTAGGTAGCTGGGTGAACAAATTTGAGAACAGTTTGTCATTTAAAAAGAAAAGTTCAGTGGCTTCATTATAGAGACTCAGTTTATTGGTACAAAGTAAATTATGGTGTGATTTGCTCCAGTCTAAAATTCATACTGAGAGCAAAGGCCTCTCCCACATAGAAATAATTTCATTTTTATTTTGGTTAAGAAAGTAATTTATAACCATAATAAAAAGTCGGCAATGACAAATACAGAAAGAAAAACATCCTCTGTTCAGTAGATAGTTTTGCAATAATAGTGATGTTTATCTGTGTTCTCCAATACAGCAGCTAGACGTACGTGGCTACTGAGCACCTAAAATGGGCAAGTGTGAGACTAAATTTTAATTTAATCTTAATTTGTGCACTAAACTAAATAGCTATGTAGGGGCAGTGTAAGCTGTGGACAATATATGTCTAAGAGTTTGCAAATCAGGATCCTCATTTTTGGAATATGGGT